CAAACCACCCATCAATTTCCTTTCATTCAGGTCTCAGTTGTAGTTGCAATTACCATAATATTGATGGTAGGACTAGCTCCTGCTTAGTGAGTGTTACTCTGTCCTATGCCCTGAACTAAGGTTGCTTATATGACTCCATGTCACCTTAGCTAGGTGAAGACAGAGGAAGACAGAGTCACGAAGAGATCAAGTGCCTTGCCTGAGGTTCCATAGTGAATGGCCAAGCTAGGATTCCAGCGCTAAAGACCATTGTCTGCATCTCACTGTTGACCATGAATGTCCAACCTTTTCCACTCCTCCCTGGAATGCATCTCTCCCGCTGAAGTTGCCTTTCTGGCCCATTTCTGATTGTTTAATTAGTGTTGATTGATTCCCTTGATGCAGCTTGCAGCTTTGGGGCACAGGGACTTGGGGCCATTCTTTTTGTAGCAGGTTGCCCCGAGGTTAGCAGATAGAAGGTGCTCTTTAGTGGGTGTGGGTGTGGGGGGTTGAGGTGAATGGAAGGAGACTCAGGGAGGCCGTGTGAAAAACAGAGGTAACTGGAGATTAGAAGAAGAGAGATCTTGGAGTAACTCAGGACTCATCAGGACCTCTGGGGTGCTCTCGTCATTGCTATGAAGCTATAAAATGGGGGAGGATCCTGCCAGCAGACTGCTGCCAGGTCTCGGTGTTTGAAAGAGGCTATATTTCCCCAGGCTGAGCTTCTCTGGGCGAAGGCCCCTTTTCTTATACTTGTAGCACACTTTAACCACATTTAGCCATGCATTTGGAGGGGATTACAGATTTCTGTTAAGTATAGTAGCATATAAAAAGCAGTTGTGTAAGGTTGTGTGCACAGTACAGAGAGCTGGAATATCAGACTGGGGGGCTTCCCCACCCTTTAAGCCAGTGTTCACTGAGCTGTACCCTGTACTGATCACTCCTTTTGCATGAGCTATCTCAGTCTTCCCTGCAACCCAGCGGGTGTGATGGTCCTTACCAGCTCCATTCTTAGATTCTAATCCTGCTGTCCCATCCATTGGCTCAGGGCCCCACAGGGCATGAACTGGTGGAGACAGGACTTGAACCCTGGGCTCCTGCTAACAAAACCCTAGATCTCGCCCGCCTCAGCTGGCCTGCTCAGAAGGAAACTGCTGCCTTCCAGCAGGCAGGCCTGTGGAAATGGTTGCCAACCTCTCTGCATTAACAAGCTCCATTGGCTGAAGAAATTATGGCCTCGGTGTGGATCAGTGACCTGAGAAATCAGGGCACAGAAGAGTTGATTTTTTTTTTTTCTTTTTTGTATCACTACTGAGGCTGGGTATGGTAGTGAAGCCTTGAAATCCCAGCACTAGAGAGATGGAAGTAGGAGAGCCCCCAGATTGAAGCCAAGGCTATGCTGTTTAAGGAGCCCTTGCCTCAACAAATACAAAATTAACTCTAGAATATCTTTTAAGGTCCTGCTTTCTGTACGGTATGTGTGCTCTGTGTGTACCATCATGACACACACAAGAGAACTGAAACCTTTTAAGAGGAACATTTTCACTGGGGCGTTACCTGGTAGAAAATACTGGCCATAGTCTGAATATTGCAGTCCGATTTAGTCTCCTGGGATAGGTGATTCCCTTGTGAATTCCCCACTACACTATGTTCTTCTCAGCTCTGCTGGCTGTTATGGCTGTTAGCTTTTTGTTCTTGCATCAAAAAAACAGGGGCGGGGGAGACACAAGTTCTCCTATCGTTAAGTGGATTGGTCTAGGTGGCCAGTCCTGCTGGAACATTCGGTGACGGTCTCAGGCACACAAGGCTGCATGTGGCGGAGGTGAGGAATGTGTGTGGGCTTTGTGAAGCATGTTCTCAATCATTATTTGAGCTAATGGCCATTCAGGTTCTTCCCTGAGCTCTTCAGTATTGGTAAATAAGAGGAATGCTTTAAAAAATAGCGCATCTGCCAAGTAAAACACTCTGGGAGTGGGTGTAATTCCCACCCCAAAAGTCCTCTTTCCCTTTGGTGACCTCTAGGGAGGAGGGTCTGCTGTAGGCCACATGGGTGGTCTCTGTGCCCCACCTCTTCAAGACTCATAGGGCAATGGGGGAGAATGCAGGGTAGAGCAAAATCTAGTTCTGCTGGAAACAAGAGTTTTGAGCTCCAGGAGGAAAACCAGGATAATAGGAAAAGTAAGAGAATACTTCACTTTGACAATCAAAGATACGAATATTTGATATGCCAAATGTTAAGGGCTTTAGACTATTATGTCTCTCTCTCTCTCTTTTTTTTTTCCTTTTGGTTTGGTTTTTTAAGATAGGATTTCTCTGGGTATTAGCCCTGGCTGTCCTGGAACTCACCTTGTAGACCAGGCTGCCCTCCAACTCAGAGATTATTATCATTTTATGAGTAAGTTTGTATTTATTGCCAAAGTCTCTGAACCCTCACTTCCTCATTTGGGAACATGTTGGGTGGGGTTTCCATATGATCACCACCAACTCAGCTTTGATCATTACATTTGGATTGTGTTCATGGAAATAACCATGCCTAGCTTATTTGAAGGTCTTTGCTCTCACGACACCCAAATTCTTCAGAAATTTGGACTTGGGGCTGGGAGTGTCTCTCTGTGCTAGAGCATGGGTTGAGCCTGATCCAGGCCCTGGGTCTGGCCCCCACAACAGCGGCAGCAGTGGTAGCAGCAGCAGCAACCCCACAACTAAAATTTTAAAAAAGTACCACAGATATTTTAGGGTGTGTCCCAGGCAGCTCTGTCTATAAGTGAGGTTGTGTTGCGATGGGGATTCTGAGCTGAAACAGGTGTAGTAAGATTTGTTAGCAGTATTAGAAGTCTGAAGAATCCATATTCCAGTTGAGGAAAGTGGGCCTCAGGGAGGTGAAAGGAGGAGGGAAGGTCACAGACAGTGTCAGGCCTGGAGTCAGAAGCCCAATGTGAACACACAGTACACCCAGACAGGTCCCATCCATTGTCCACTCAGCTCTTACCTCCCAATTCTGAATCCTTGCTCTATTGACTCCTCACTTCTTTTATTCTGGTCCAGTTTCTTACACATCAACTCAAGCCGTCTTTGTTCTCAGCATGGATGGGGGCTGTGGCTCAGGCCACTTGAGGCTTTTTTCAGAAAACCGTTCCATTTTGTGCCATTAGCTTCATACCACCTAACATCATCTCGCAGTTTTTTAATTTTGGAAGGTAATTCTCATCTCTCACAGGTTTTTAGCTGCAATAAAGACTGAAGTTAGGATGAGCTCTTTCTCCCTCCCCCATACTAATTTTCCTTCCTCAGAACCCCCTTTCTCATTTGTGAGCTCCCATTTTAAAATAGGAGCATTTGGTGGGAACTTGGAGCCTCACTTTACCATGCGTGGTTCCCTGAAGGCCTAAATCATCACCTTATCGGGAACTTGGTCCTGCTGGGGGCTTTTCTTTCTGAGACTGCCATCAGGACCAGGAAGGCAGGACAATAAAAATTATGATGCAAAAGAAGTATTATGGCAGCTTTGAGAGCAGGAAATTAAGTTTCTTTAACATGCAGTTGGGTGAAGGGCTGTTCTCTGGTATCTAGAATCACTCAGGCAAGTGAATGTCAGTTCATCACTTTAGGTGGAATGCAAATTGTAGCTGTTCCCCTGGTCATTTCACCCAGGAGCACACACAGACAGGCTGCCTCCACCATTCAAGGAGCCCAGTTCCTTATCTGACTCTATTGAAATACTCACATTTTATTAGTTTTTTTTTTCTTAAAGCAACAAAAACTTTATACATAATATTAAATCTGTAGCCAAAAGGCTGCAAAGAGACTTTATGAAACAAGGGATAGATGCACAGCAGATTAGATCGAGTTTTACTGGGTCAACCATCTGTGAATCTTTCTTAACATTCACTGTTAGTTTACCTGACTGATAATGAATGCAAGATGCTGTCCCTTGAATTGAGGCCCTGTCTGCACACAGTGCGCAGGTTAACTGGAGTCCTAGTGCACAGGTGTGTCCCTCTGAGTCTTTTTCACAACCGATGACCTGTTTCCAAGGTCAAGTCAAAGCTGTTCAATAGCACTCCTAGTAGTTGTTAAGTGAACCAAATGAATGACTGGCAATCTGTCTTGGACACTTGTGGGCTTTAGTTTCATCACAGTCTGCTGTCTAAACTTGGGAAGAACACCTTTGCTGTCCTTCTGAGGTTAGGGGTGCAAAGGGGACATTCTTGTACCTCAAGGCCTTGTACTTGGCTGCAATATCCATTTCTTTGGATTGAGAGGCTGGGGGACGGGGTGGGCCACCAATCCTGTGTCAGGCAAGCTCCTGGGTCATCTTGTTAAAGTGCATCACTGAAGGCTTTGTGGGTGGGGAGGCTCAGGTTGTGTGGATGCCAGGCATACACATTTATTTATCCTCTTTATAAATTCCTGCTAAACTTCACGCTAGAACACTTAATTAGGAATTGGTTCTTAACACAGGCTAATATTCAGCTTACGTGCTTCACTGTGTATAATCAAGTTATAAATTTTATAGATTCAGCAGAGTAAGTTAATATATTTTAGTAGTGATTTAATTCATTATGGTTTATAAAGTTCTCTGGGAACAATTGTAGTCCATCTCCTTTATTTAAATGTCCAATAACACAGACATTGTTCTTTACTAGTATTTATCAGTTTCTCCTTTAGATAATGTTGTAATTTTGAAAATGAGGTTTCTGTCTGAGTAGGAAATAGTGGTAATTTTACAAAGCATTTTCATTCACATCTCCAGAGACTAAAAGATGGTCCGTTGGTGAATTGAGAAGGCCCGCTTCTCGTTCAGGAAGCTAGTGCCCCCCTCTTCACCTTCTTGGACTTGAAAACACAAAATGCTCATTTCTGGTCTGCTGCTATTTTGACACCACGAGAGCACTCAAAGCCTATGGTAATTGCAAATGGAATGTAGAATGATGATCTGTTCTAGAAGCCATGTAAGAAGATTGCATTACAGAGAACTCCCAGAATGCATCACCCCTGCAGTAAGCCTGTCTGTCTTTCAGGTTGACCCCCTGTTTACAGTGCCACCGCCGCCGATTGCCAGCAGTCTCGCACCTCAGATTCTGCCCTCCTACTTTTCCCCATCTTCATCCAATATTGCAGCACCAGTCGAACAGCTCTTGGTGCGGACTCGGTCCGTGGGTGTCAATACGTGTGAAGTTGGAGTAGTGACAGAGCCAGAGTGTCTTGGGCCCTGTGAACCTGGGACCAGTGTCAATTTGGAAGGGATCGTGTGGCATGAAACAGAAGAAGGTAAATATCATTTATTTTTTATTTATCTCCCTCTGCCCTCTTCTCCATGGTGTTATCTCTGTCCATCTGTGAGGGGGATTTATTTGTTTTGTGGTTTGAGAGGGCAGAAAGGTGGTTGTAGGCCCTATGACTGGGTTTAAATAGTGATGCTAAATCGTTGTGTTCCTGGCTGCTTGTACCTTAAGGAGCCTTAAAATGCTTCTCCATATTGAGGGCTAATGCGGAGGATGTGTGAGAAGCGGGGTCAGGAGCGACTTTCTCCTAAAAGTTATCAAGGAGACAGAGCTCAAGCTCAGTTGATTTGTGGTGTGCCAGCTAGTTTGTTTCTGTGGCGTCTTCTATATATCTATCTACCTTCTGAATCTAGCCGTGGCTCTTGCGCACAGCCAGGGCCATCGTCATGATGGAGCTGAGGCTGGTTGGTGCTCAAAGCTAATGAAGCTAATGTCAAAGGTTTAAGGCCCAGTTGAGCCAGTCATCTCTACTGCATCCTCAGACAGAACCTTTCCTGCCCCTTAACTCGGTAAGCCGTTTGGCAAGTGCAGCCCATTAGTCACCGGGGAAACACCGCCCGGGAAACTGGATTTCCCCCCCCATTGGGAACCTAAGTCAAGAGTACCAGCCACACAGATAGTGGGTCCAGATCAGGTTGCCACGTCTCGTAGCACATGGTGTGTGGAGTGTTTCAAGTGGCATGCACCATTAACAAGCCAGAAGATACTGAAAAGCAATTCCCAGAGAGGGTGAGCAGCCTGCTCCAAGTACAGTGAGAAAGAAGAGCAAGGAAGATGAAAGAGGGAGCACACTAGTTTCAAGAGGAGTGGAGACAATGAGCATGGGAACCTCTTGTCCCTTCAAGCTAGGTTGGTCAAGGGTAATGGAGATGGACGACAGCTGCAAATATCTGGGCATCTGTGAGGCCAGTCGGGGCAAGGCTGAGTGACAAGAATGGGTGGAGACTGAATCTTTAGTTGGACCTATTAAGGGGGAAGGCTGAAGATACAAAATCAAAGGAGGAAGGTAGATGACATTCCTGGGAGGCTTCGGTGTACCCCTACGGGGCCGGGGGAGTGACTTATTGCTGGACAGAAAAAGAAATATTTTATTTCTGGCTGCTTCAAGAGAAAAACAAAGATTATTGGAGAAATCTTTGGATTCCACTACGACATTCCATGCACTCTTGTATGGCCTATTTCTTAATTAACAATTAAAAACAAAGACTGCAGCTGATGCCAATAATAAAGAAAAAGAATTAATTGTACAGTAAAAAGGAATGAAAATAGCAGCTACAGGGTTAGTTCTTGTTTATGTAAGTAGAAGTGATACCTCCAATTTAATTTGACTTGTGAATTTTCATCTCCTCCATCTTTGAAGTTTTAGTTTGGGTTTCTCACCACTCTGGGAAACTGATGAACACAATACTATCAGAATATGGGACTTAGAGAGTGATGTGAGAACAGATAGATAGAAACTTTTCTTATTCTACCTGTTCATTCAGGATCCATTCCCAAGACCAAGGGCCAGTCTCTGTCTGGTCCCCACATCCTCGTGTTGTACAGTTTTCCTCCCTAGGGTTCTCTCTATAGAGCAGAAGTGGTGGAGAAGGGATTTGGATCAACCCCTCAAGACATTAACAACATCACAGTTAATTAGTTACATCAAGATTTTCAGCAACAAGGGGGAAAAAGCAGATTTGGAGAAAACAGGGGTTGAATTCCATAAATTTGAAATGGAAAATTCACTCATTAACGTGAGACACTGTCTTCCTGTTTCCTAATGGGTTTATTGCTTGTCATGATTTTATTTATGTAAGTGTGGAGTAGGACAGGCTTCCTGCGGTATAATCTCACTGGGTGGTAACTGTTATAAAATTAGCCATAAGTTTTCTGGGACAGTTGGGTTATTTTTCAGTTTGCCTAGAAGTCTGTTTAGTTTTGACTTTTAAACTTGGCCTTTTATAAAAGTAGATTATTTAGAACATGGGGGTTGAGAGGTTGTGATTAAAAACCAGAGTACATGAACTGAAATAGAATTCTGATACTCTGGCCCTGTGTTTAAATAGCTTGAAGATATTGTTTTGATAATATATAAATAAAGCCATACTACTTCCACCCTAGACTCTAAAAGATTTTTTTTTGATTTGAAACAAACAAACAAACAAACAAGCAAAGTTTCCCTCTGTGCTGAAGGTTGGCACTGAACTCATGACCCACCTGACTCTGCTTTCTGACTAATGGGATTCCAAACAAGTGCCACCATGCCTGGTGGTCTCCAGATTAACTCATTTTCTATGCCTCCACCCAGCCACATCTATGGGTGTCTCTGCACCAACTCATAGCTATAGAAGCAAGGCATAATAGCCAACCACAGGCAGGGCCAGTGTCCTTGCTCCCTCACACGTGCCAGGACATGGCATGTGTGGCTGTTCACTGTGGAGCCAGAGCCATTTACAGGTTTATTCTTGCTGAATAAGCTAAATTTCTGATCTCTGTAGAATTAAAGAACTAATCTTTATGAAGGCCTGGGTCCTGAGACATGTATTCCATACACACCCATTTTCAAGAAGGGAGCATTTACTTTTTCTTTCTTTCTTTCTTTCTCTTTCTTTCTTTCTTTCTTTCTTTCTTTCTTTCTTTCTTTCTTTCTTAGTATCGTGTGCTTAAGGCCTTGGCATCTATTTAAAAATTAAACTCAATTGACTATTAATTTTTCCTTTTCAGGGAAAGCAGAGAGACACAAAACAAAGACATTTGGAGCCAATTATTTTGCAGAGCTCAAAAAAGGACAATTTTAAGGAAAGACGTGGGAGCAAAACAATATACAATAATTTGTCCTATGAGGTTTCACTAAAGAAAGAACTGCTTGTCTCCATACTTATAAAATTGTCAGGCACCTGTATAACTGAGCTGAGTCAAATCCCTCCATTGCTACTATAAATTGTATTGTTTTTCCCACATTTAATTTGATAGTTCATTTACATGTGTGGAGGTTGTATATGCCTGTGTTTTCAGATCCTAGAATTTCAAGAATTCATAGTTACAGTCTCCCAGGGATATTGGATATTTCTTGTAACCTCTTTGAGGTTGGGGAAGAATAGTGCAACCGAAACTTGACATTGGGTTAAACACTTAGTTGCCTCTTGTTCTAGGAAGCCCTCATTGCATTCAGCTTTCTTTAGGTGGTCTTTGCTTCTCTTTTTACTGCCTGTAGTGAATTTCTAGTTGTTCAAGAACCTAGTTGTGTTCAGGAATAAAGTGTTAATAGTATAGTTGTTTCTGGAAAAAATTAGCCAGCTTCAGAGATGCTTCCTTCCTAGGAGAGGAAAACTATTTCTACGTGTGGATGTTTGCTTATTCTACTCTGATCTTTCTTCTTTAAGGTGAATGTTTAAGAGCAATGATGAATTGTACAAGATTACTCACAGATGTTGGAAGAATTTCCATAGCATTTCACCCATGACATTTGGGACACACATGCCTAAAGTATAAGAGTTTGTTTGACAATATGCTCTTCAAAAAGAGCAGCGGGGGGGGAATTGGTGGATTCAGCACTGTGTGTAAATACATGTGTTGAGCTTGGTGTTAGGAGTCTTGAATGGATTTTCTTTTGCACTTTATTGAAGTGGGCAGGCTCAATGCTTATTATATACTTTTAGTTATATGCACATGAGTACATCTCTGGATATTTGTACATGAGTGCAGATGTCACAGGAAGCTAGAAGAGGGTTTGGAGCCCCAGAGCTGGAGTTACAGGTGGCTGTGAGCCGCAGGGCACAGGTTATGGTGGCAATTGAATTCTTGACTGATGGACCAACTCGCCTCCCCCTCGATTATGTTTCTTATTGGGCCTTTTTGTGGTGGGTGGCCACATATGAGAGAAAAAGACTTGGTTCATGTGTGCCCTGTGTCCATTCTTAGGACTGTCTTTGCCCTTTCCTTTAGTGTTCTAATGGTTAATGAGTAAAGCTACTTAGAAAAAGGAAAACTGCCATTTGCCAATGATGGCCTCTTGAATACCCACAGAAAAACAGAGCATGAGTTCTCAGCACTGTGCTATTGACTCACTCAAGAAGGGATGGCTTTTATAACCATCAAATACCCAAGTACCACTCTAGGTACTGAGTCAATCTGAGTTGGCATGCATGTGGCATTGGTCAGGTTTGGTTGCTGATCTGCCACTGGTTTAATATTCCAAAAGTGATTGTAGGGGCAAGTGGGGGAGGAGAGAGCAGAGGGAGAACATGAGGTACTTTCCTTTGAAGGAATCACTTGCATTTATAGTCTCGAGTTTCCAAGCATAAAATGAACAGGGACACTTGCCTTTACCTGATGGTTACCAAGACCTACCAAATGCTGAAGTATGGCAGGGGAGCATAGTTGTTCAGATACTAGTAAGTGCCGGAGTCTTGAACATCCATTCAGACAAACCACAGAGAATTTGAGGGACAGTCTTCAGGAACAATCCACTGATACCACTCTTAATCCTAATACAGTGGGAGGCACTTACTCTGTAGTTTTCAAATGAGTAAGTTTATTTCTTTGTAGTTTCTGCTGAATTAATCTTGAACTATCCTAGAAACCAATAGTAATGTTAATGTAGCATACATCCTGGAGAAGATGGATCTCACTTATAGCCCCAGCACTCAGGATACAAAACGAATGTGAGCTTGAGGCCAGCTTGGGTTCCAGGGAGACCCCATCTACAAACAAGCAGACAAACCTTGCTTAGATCATCAATGGGGGTTTCCTGGGAGACAATAGAATACCAGTGACTGAGTGAGTGTGGTTGTAATGACACAGAGTCACCTTGACAGGAGGAATGCCATATAGGAACTTCACCAGTGCCTTTGGTTTCCAAGTTAAAAAAAAAAAAAAAAGAAGAAGAAGAAAGATGAATACTTAGGAAATGATTGTTTTAAAAGGTAATTAACTGGAGAAATAAATGACTTTTTTAAAAAAAATCACTAGAGATTTTCCTAAATTCCGCTTCTCTTGGCTCTC